CCCGCTATTGCTATAATTGTGCACTCGTTTCGATACGCGTTTAATACAACACGTTTAATACGACACGTTTAATACGACACGTTTAATACGACACGTTTAATATTCCGATCCGATCGCTCGCGCTGTCTTCGGGCGGAATAAATAATAAAGAAAGATTTCTTCCTCCTCCTTTTCTCTCTCTCTCTCTCTTCGACGTTAATTATACGTTCGAACAACGCGAAACGAAAAATTAATATCTCGTATTATCGCACGTAACGAGATACGATTAAAATAAGATGGAGGAGAAAGGAGGGGGGAGAAAGATCGATGTTGCTCGAATGGAAACGTTAAACGAACAAAGTTGGGGATGGAAGAAATATCGTTTCCACTGACTCCCGGCACTCGGAGGGAAAAATTGAGAGGCTCGTTATCGAATTACGGTAACAACTCGAAACTGTTCGCAAAGCTGTTATATTAGACGGCCATTCAAAGCATTGAAATCCCCGATGCAATTGCGGATATTTACGGCTGTGACGTTTCTCGTTGGAATTATCTTGATTATTCGTTCGTCTTGTTCTTTTTTGTTTCTTTTTTCGCTCGTTCTTTCTTAAACCGAATTATTTATCGTCCCGCTTCTTTATCGTTCGATGGTAGATCGATGAACGTCTCCTTGCGAAGCTCGATTCTGCGGTTCATCATTTGTTGTTTAATGAGTTTATTATTTGTATAATTGGGACAAATAGATATTTTTTCGCGAAAGAGGGATGGTAGATCGCGAAACGAGCACAGGATGAAGAAAGAGAGTGGAGATTCCTTGAATCGCTTCCTCTCTTCTTTCAAAACTTCCCTCTCGAGTCCTCTACTCGTGCAAAGAATTTATTCCGCCGATTACTTCGCTTTTCTTGGTCCACCCTTGATTGTCCTCCCGGATAAAAAGGAGGGGGAGGAGGGAAGGAACAAAGGGGAAAATGGACGGGGAAGAGAAAAAGAAAGAAAGAAAGAAAGAAAGAAAGAAAGAAAGAAAGAAGGGACAATCCAAACGACGATGTACAACGACGTCGTCTGCAATTTCGGCTTATCTTTGTAGATAAACTCTGCCATTAGTGAAAGTAGCACGCTTCGGCGGAGAAGGGGGCTTTAATTAGGCTCACTCAATTATTTGAGCATTAAAGGAGCTTCCGACCAGAGAGGGCGACGTCGTATCTCTGGAAATGTCGTTAACAAAAGCTTCCCGCGTTAAAATCCCATAACTATCGTAAGGATGATAAGTTGCAGACAGGATTTCCATTCGTGAAATCTCTTTGGAATGGAAAAAAAAAAAAAAAAGGTGAGTATAATTCAGTAAGAGAGAAATAATAGAATAATGTTAATGGTTTGATTAGATCGTAATCCTGATTTTATAGGATTACGCGCTACATAGTATGATTCTTATTGTTTCTTCTTTCTCCTCTGGAAAGGAGGGAAAGGATCTCCCTCCAGACTCTTTATCCTCAATTTTCTGAACTCTGAACACTGAAGTGCCTGATTCAAATTAAGTAGCGCGTGTATTTTCTCATGAGGCTCGGTGGGAGGATAATACAATTGCATTCGTAGAGATAATGGAAACTTTTAAATTTTTCTGAAGTTTTATACTTTTTATGGGTGCAAACATATTGTACTTTATAACTTTATTCATCGCTCCCTCGAATTAAACACTTTTCCTCCATTCGTTCCTGCATTTACTTTTGAATATTATTTTCTTTCTTTCGTTCGAGAAAGCCATTTGTTAGAAAATATTCAAACGCTTGAAAATTTTTAAACTTGGATATAATACTGATGCTTATAAATAAAAAGAAATAAGATAATTAGACAAATTAGACAAATACGTAAATATTCTTCCTCCATTTTTCTTTTCCATATCTCTTCGTTTTTTTTTAGATCGATACATGTTCTCGATTTATTTAATACAAATTCCACGATCCATACTGATATTTTTAATTTCAATTTGTTCACCGATTCGTTTTATTAAGCGAGAACCCATATTGCTTTTTCTTCGTTCTCTCGATAATTTGATCTCGAGTCAAATAAATTAAAAAATGGGTCGTTTTATTCCCCGTATAACCTGCTACGCCTGTACAGAGGTTGGGGTTTAAAGATAGAAAGATAGTTTTATACGTCATTTTCTGCACGAGTGGCCTGAACACCGGAAAATCGGATTCCTCCGGCTCCATTTTATACGATCCAGCCACGTAACGGAGAAAAAATCGCGTAATGGACGAGAGAGAAAGAGAGAGAGAGATATATAGACGGGTAAAGAGAAAAAGAGTACTGTATTGTGAGCATTCAAGCTGATAAATAAAATGCCACGAAATTACTCGATCCGCGAATCCGCCAGAGTAAATTAAAAATT